CTATGTCCGCAGTCTCTGGTCATCTCCTGTACTATGTCCGCAGTCTCTGGTCATCGCCTGTACTATGTCCGCAGTCTCTGGTCATCTCCTGTACTATGTCCGCAGTCTCTGGTCATCTCCTGTAGTATGTCCGCAGTCTCTGGTCATCTCCTGTAGTATGTCCGCAGTCTCTGGTCATCTCCTGTACTATGTCCGCAGTCTCTGGTCATCTCCTGTACTATGTCCACAGTCTCTGGTCATCTCCTGTACTATGTCCGCAGTCTCTGGTCATCTCCTGTAGTATGTCCGCAGTCTCTGGTCATCTCCTGTAGTATGTCCGCAGTCTCTGGTCATCTCCTGTACTATGTCCGCAGTCTCTGGTCATCTCCTGTACTATGTCCGCAGTCTCTGGTCATCTCCTGTAGTATGTCCGCAGTCTTTGGTCATCTCCTGTAGTATGTCCGCAGTCTCTGGTCATCTCCTGTACTATGTCCGCAGTCTCTGGTCATCTCCTGTACTATGTCCGCAGTCTCTGGTCATCTCCTGTAGTATGTCCGCAGTCTCTGGTCATCTCCTGTACTATGTCCGCAGTCTCTGGTCATCCCCTGTACTATGTCCGCAGTCTCTTGTCATCTCCTGTACTATGTCCGCAGTCTCTGGTCATCTCCTGTACTATGTCCACAGTCTCTGGTCATCTCCTGTACTATGTCCGCAGTCTCTGGTCATCTCCTGTACTATGTCCGCAGTCTCTGGTCATCTCCTGTACTATGTCCGCAGTCTCTGGTCATCTCCTGTACTATGTCCGCAGTCTCTGGTCATCTCCTGTACTATGTCCGCAGTCTCTGGTCATCTCCTGTACTATGTCCGCAGTCTCTGGTCATCTCCTGTACTATGTCCGCAGTCTCTGGTCATCTCCTGTACTATGTCCGCAGTCTCTGGTCATCTCCTGTACTATGTCCGCAGTCTCTGGTCATCCCCTGTACTATGTCCGCAGTCTCTGGTCATCCCCTGTACTATGTCCGCAGTCTCTGGTCATCCCCTGTACTATGTCCGCAGTCTCTGGTCATCCCCTGTACTATGTTTGCAGTCCATTGGTTCAGAATATTTTTTTTCTTGTTTTCCTCCTCTAAAACCTAGGTGCGTCTTATGGTCAGGTGTGTCTTATGGAGCGAAAAATATGGTGTATATATATATATATATATATATATATATATATATATATATAATAATAAAAGTTTTTATAGCTCTGCTTATGGAGGTCATAAATTCACTTAGCTGTTTCTTCATTGCCCATGTAGCAGTGTCAATAAATCATGTCCTTAGCAGACATCTGTTGTCACTCCCCAGTCCCTGAATGCCCCTGTTGTGTAATATTGACTTATAACCACACAACAGCTCAGGAATGTGGACATGTGTTAAAATGTTTTAGTAGACAACACAGCACAAGTCAGCTGCCGCTTAACTCCAGTGCCTGTGTAAAAGTTGTGTATGAAACCAAATAATACAACCAGCTTGTTTAAGGAAGAAGTTCTGCATTTTGTTGCTTGCATTATACCAATTTGACAGATTAGGCTTATCAGCTACTTGTAAAATAGGCGACTATTGTCAGACCCCTTTCACATGGGTGGATCGTTAAGTTCCACCTGTCTGTTTTTTAGGCAGACTCGATCGGACCATCCATTGTAGTCTTTGGAGTGTCGGATGTAAACGTACATGTGTTCGTTTTACTCCCGCCTTTATCCGATTCGATCTGCTAAAAACAGACGGATAGGGATAAGTGTTTGAGTCATCCTAAGGGTTAAAATTTGGTCAAGTCATATACCTTCCCCATATGACTTGACCAAATTTTAACCCTTAGGATGACTCAAACACTTAACCTCGCTTTGACATACATAGTAAATCTTAAACCAACTTCTAAAATAAACTCTCCCTCAACACTTATCCAAACCCTGAAACTTAACCAAGGCCCATCTCCTGAGCCTAACATTTTTTCCCTTAACCTCAGTCTTCATCTTTGGTCTTAACCTTTAAATTTAACTCAATACCTAATCTTTAAAATGCCGCTTAAATCTGAGCACCTAACCTCTAAATATAACATTAATGTGTATCTATATACATAAAAAAATATGCAGCGCTAATAAAAACTAAAGATAAATGAAGCATAAAAAATCAACCAACAAACTCATAAAAACTCGGTCCTCTACATAGAGGGATAAGTGACTAAATAGTAATGAGAATATAATGGAATAAAATGACGCTCAATGGCGTAATCAATAGTGACAAGTGCAAACGTCCAGAATCAGCGTTATAAAGTGCACAGTGATAACTCTCAAGGCAGAGTAATGAAAACTGGTGACACTCTGTGACCGTGTTCTTTATAAGGTGATGAGTATAGATTGCACTAACCAGAAAGCGCAATTTAATGCGTGTTTGGGTAATTCATAATCAACTCCTGGTCATCCACATCTGGGAACTGGAACACAGTGGGGGTCACCTGGCCAGCGTCAGCTAGACAGGTATCACACCATCAGGGTCTCCAGGTACCAGGGAAAAGCAATCTTCCCCTGTGACGTCACTCCGCACAACCCACGTGGGCGGCCATCTTGGATTGTTCCCTGCCAGCTTTCAGGCTGCAGCATGTGAGTTCTCATCTGTGTGTTACACCCCCGCTGTTCTAATAAAGTACTACACTATCTGGATTCTCTGTGTTTGGCTCGTTACTCCCGAGCCCCCCCCCCCCCCCCTTTCTTCAAGGCATACCCTGATGACCTGGTGGCTGCTACACTAATGGTGAGACTGGCTCTCCTGCTGGTGAGAAGATTGCTTTTCCTTGTTACCTGGAGACCCTGATGGTGTGATACCTGCCTAGCTGAGGCTGGGCAGGTGACCCCCATTGTGTTCCAGTTCCCAGATGTGGATGACCAGGAGTTGGTTATGAATTACTCAAATGCGCATTAAATTGCGCTTTCTGGTTAGTGCAATCTATACTCATCACCTTTATAAAGAACACGGTCACAGAGTGTCACCAGTTTTCATTACTCTGCCTTGAGAGTTATCATCGTTTTCACTGTGCACTTTATAAAGCTGATTCTGGACGTTTGCACTTGTCACTATTGATTACGCCATTGAGCGTCATTTTATTCCATTATATTCTCATTACTATTTAGTCACTTATCCCTCTATGTAGAGGACCGAGTTTTTATGAGTTTGTTGGTTGATTTTTAGGATTTTTATGCTTCATTTATCTTTAGTTTTTATTAGCGCTGCATGTTTTATGTATATACTTACTACAGAGATTTTTGAGGTTTGCCTTTCATGCTAGCTGCTCTTTGGTTTTTATCCAGCGCTCGTTCATTTCTTCTGTCAAGTAATGTGTATCTATTATCTTTATTTTTTGGGTTTTGGATGGAATGGGGATGAAGACACTTTTTTGGATGACATTTGTCTAAGGATATTCTTTACTTTAAAGATATTTCCCATTTTCTGTTATGGCTCCAAAACATGGTGAAAAAAAATCTAAACAATAGGACATAGACCACAAATAAAAAAAAAAAATTATTATTTGTATACATTCCTAACTCCTTGTTTTTAACAGTTCATGAATTTAAAGGATAAGTTCACGTTTGATAAAAAAAATTAAATAAATGCACATCTTTTTTGCAGGTTAAACAGAGCCCTTTTATTTCACTTTACACTAGAACTTGTAAAGCATTGCACCTGTGATCAGCAGATCGGGGTGCAAGGCCAGAATCATTCACACTCTCAGTACACTGTCTGCCTGTACCTCGTATGAGCAGGCAGTTACTGAATTGCATGAAGAGCCAATAGACTATGAAAGCCCTCACAGTTCATTGAGAACTACAGTTGTAGTTCATTCATTCACAGACCTTGGTGAATTAATGATGCAGCCATGTGAGCAGTGCCCCACAGTTTTTAAATTGTGACAATGGGTGTGGTGAGGAGATCCCTGCCTACTGTCACAGGGATAGGGAGAGAGGAGGCAGGAGCTGGAACATGTTAGGCCCCTTTCACACAGGGCAGACTCTACCTGCAATCCGCTTGCTCAGCAGGGAATCTGTCTGATGATCCCTCACTGAGCAGGTGGATGACAGGTCCATGTTTGCTCTGCTTATACAGAAAGGACATGGACACAGCCTCTATGGGCATTCAGATGTAAACAGACTGCCTGTCTGTTTACACCCCACTGGCATCCGATCCGCTGAATGGAAGAGAATCTGATCCCCATCTGTCTGTTTTTAGCGGATCAGATTGGATTGGAGATTACGATCGGGTCCGCCTGAAAAATGGACAGGTGGACCCAATCGGAACATTCGTGTGAAAGGGGCCTTACATGTCCCACCCTAAATACAGGTGGAACAAGTAGCATGTTCCAAAGGTGAACTTAGCCTTTAAACTGTACGTTTCAGTTCTGAAAGTGAAAATCTCTGCCACTCAGGTACCTTCTCACAGAATTCAATGCTTCTAAGAAAATTGCTGTTCCGGCAGCAGATGTCAAACTATTTTATTTTCATACCAAATGTATTTGAATAAATCACATTTTAAAAACATGGTTAAAGTCTCTGTGCGATACAAAATACATTGTTTTTTTTTGTTTTTTTTTTTTTTTTTACCTTTACTTGATGGAACTTCTTTCTCTATGTAAAGGCCTGCTTTGTTAAAAAAAAAAAAAAAAAAAAAATTGTAATGTTACATTTATAAACGGTGTTTCCAGGTCTTAGTACAGTGCATGTTAATTTTTCTTTAGAAAAAAAGAATTTAAAATTAACATAAAAATACAATTTAAAGGTCTTCTGCTAGGCATCTGTACACAGCTGAATTTTTGTTCTTCTGCGTGTTACCACTCTTATTCCTCAGCATCTTATGGCTGAGCAGGCCTGAATCAGTAGAGCGTTGGCTACCAGGATTTGGAGGGGGGCTCCTTTGTTACCCTGCTGTTTAATTAGCTCACTATTACTATCTGTAGTGTTATGCTGTAATTCATTTTTTTTTTGCTTCAATAGGGATGATTTTAATATCCTCGTTCTCCAAGCATTCGTTGAACTCCATGAGTTTGCAGATCTGAATCTTGTCCAAGCACTAAGGTCAGTATTGTATTATATGCATAATGTGGAAATCCCGGTGGTTTGCGGGTCAAAGAATTAAAAGAACCATACAACTCAATGTCTGTGGCTCAGTGTTCTCTTGTGAATAGTGGGGTCTTTGTAGGGGATGTGGATACTGGGTTGGCAGAAACATGTTTGGCACAGTTTCATGCCAACATCATTGCTTAAAACCCCATAAAATATCAATGTTTCTTTGTTTTAGACTTTTAAAATTTAAGAGTATCCATAGTTAGGTGCCAATTCTAGGTGGTCTACATAATGCTGCAAATGCAAAGAAATATGGGTTTTCCATCTCATCATACATTTACTAGATTTTTGCAAATCTGGTTTTATGCTTGCTCTGAATTTTATAGTATACTTATTTTTGGTGTTAGAAAAGGTGGTTCTCATAACTGTGAACATAGTTGAATGTGCTTTTGAGCCCTTTGTACACTAGCTAGTAAATATTATATTTTGTGCTATAGTTTTGGTATAAAGAATGCCCAGGTATTAAGTCTAAAATATTTGTCTTCATGTATGAAAGTGTCCAAATAAGTGGTGCAGCCAGTCAGATTACCCATCCCCCACCCCTATCATTCATTCATGAGGCTAGTGTCCCATCACTGCATACAGAACGATAACTCCCTCTCTGGCCAGCCATTGCAGGACCTCCTATTGACAGCCTGTTTTGAAATGTCAGCCGTTGTGCAAAGAATCATGGGAGCATACTTTAAGATAGATTACAGACAACTACATGCAACATTGTTTAAGAATAATTTTAGAAGTGTTCATTAAGTAGGCTGGTACATTTGTTAATTACATGCTATGTTATGGAATATGATGTTTGTAGTTGTTCCTCTTAAAGTGAACAAGAGCTAAAACGTGTGTGTGTGGGGGGGGGGGGGGGGGAGGGGGGAACTTGGGGAAGAAATAAAAGTTGACAAAAAACAGCTATGGCTCTGTCTGCATTTTCAGTGATGCAGTCATAGGAAAGAAAGCTTGTTGCTGAATGAAGAAGCATCTCTTGATCAGATGGTTCCAATTAGTTTTGAAAACCTCCTTCATCAGGGCCATGATCAAATGCCTGACTAAATTAAAAAAATAAATGTAGAAATTAGCACCTTTTTATACACTTTTTTTTTTTTTGCTTTGTCTTTTTTTTTTTTTTATCATCAGTCCACTTATACAAACAGTCACCAAAGTTGTCTTCAGTTCCCTGACAGAAATGCCTTTTGATTCTCACAGTACTGAAACTAACACATAAAGCCCTAGAAGCTCACAGTACTGCTGAACCCTTGTGACACCGGTAACCATTTCAAATGAATTCTCGTGTCACTATAAATCCCTCAAATCCCAGGCCTAGGATGTGCGTGGTGCCTCGGAATTCCCCTTCCTGGTGCTAAATGCTACCCTCGACCAGAAGGTTTTTCAGTAAGAATTCTTTATTCCCTACCACATCCCTCTCCCTCATTGTACATCATAGACCTCTTCTCTGATGGCGTGTATGTACTCATTAGCTACACTGTCCCTCCCTTCATCTCCCTATATAACCATTTATATAGCCGCTGGGGGAGGATCTAAGGAGAGTACTTTAGAGTGTCACTTGAGTGGCAGCTTTGAGGCTGCTGACATCACATACATATTGTTGGTGCCCAGCATTGGTTTCAGGGCTTTTGCATGTCTATACAAGGGGGGCTTTTACAGGTAAATGATATGCATAAAATCTGTTTACTGCACTTGCGTACAATCTTATGGGAAGATTGTTGTAAACATGAATGGTCATGTGACGGGGTCTTTTTAAAATCTTGGGGGAATGTAAAAGGGGACCACTGCTGCATTAGGTCTCCTTGTGTTACAATCTATCATGGCTGAATTCTAAACAGCAAAGTGTCCTTGCCCTTTCACACAGCTTTGTGAGGGGCCCAATACATGTTACCATTACACAGCTGTACACATGTGCCATAATACAAATATCTGTATCCAGTATATACCTGTACATATACTACATCTTTCAGACTTTCTCATTATGTTTGTGTAAATATTTACAGACAATTTTTGTGGAGTTTCCGGTTGCCTGGAGAGGCCCAGAAGATTGACCGCATGATGGAAGCTTTTGCTGCACGTTACTGTCTGTGTAATCCTGGGGTGTTTCAGTCCACAGGTTAGTCTAAAAAGCATATAAAACATTCTTCTGTGTGGCTGAGTTATTTGTGATTGCAGCTTAATTAGAGGTACAGTACTATGGATCACGGTTTCAGAAAGAGCCTGTTGTGAATTTGCAAGGCATTCGTGTATCAGAAGACTTGTATTTTATCATTTTGCTTATTATTTTGGTAACAAATAACAAGAAAAGCTTCTGATCTCTCTCTAGTCTCTTCCTACCATCAATTTGTAAAAAAAATATGTATATAGAGCTCAATAGCAGAAGCTGAAATTTGCGCACAAGTGAATAAATCAGGACCATGATTCATCCCCCTTACTCCCTCCATCCCTATCTCTATCTCCAAACAGTATTCCAGCTGTGACTGCATGCTTTAACAAATATATGCAAAAAACACCTATCCATAGAATGTGCCCAGACCATTAGGCTGGGTGGAACACTTGCCTGGTGTGTTAACGTGCATTATGTAATTTGTAATCGGTAATACCCCTAGTGCAGCTAAAACCACACCTCACCCTTTTTTGTGAACACAGAACAAGGATGTCTGCTGAAGTGCGGTTGCATTGCTTTAGTGCGTTGGGATGTCATTCAAAATAAATAACTCCAATGCACTAACAAGTTCACATTATTGTGAACCTGACCTTCTAGTTTCCCTCTAAATTATGAATATTAGTAAACTGCTTTTCGAGTAAATACCTCTTTACCATAGGCGTAGCCTAAAGGAGAAGAACAGCCAAAGCTCATTTGGCTGTACTTTTCCTGTGGATCACAAGAGTGCAGTTCATTCTGCAATCCTGTGACCCATTTTCAGCTGACAGCAGGCTGAAATCATTCAGCTGGTCCAGGCTGGGAAAAGATCCCGACTTTAAAGTCAGGATCCACCCCAGAGTCTGGGGAGGGGACCCCAGGATCCTCCCTAGCGATCGCGGAGAGCCTGAGCCAGCCGCTCCCTCCCTCTTCACAGCCCAGCGTTCCGGTGAGCGCAGAAGGAGAGCAGACAGCGGTGACTGACAGTCACCGTTCTCGGCTCACAGCATCGGTGAGAACTCCTGTGATCTCTGAGTTCTCACACTGCCAGTAGGGGACCGATGCTGCATCTATTTAGGTAAGTTTGATTTAAGAAAAAAAAAAATGCAGCAAGCCCATATTTCTATTTTAAAGCTTGTGGGCGCCGATGCAAAAGTTGACCTGGGGCCCCCATGACCACCTGTCACTATTTTACCATACCTCTCCAATTCTTTTGAACACCGGAAACCCTCCACCACCACCCTGGTCTCCGCTTTACTTACCTCCAGGATTTCCGAGCTGTCAGCACTCCTGAAGTCACTCCAGCGGTCCAGGGATTTGCAATCCCCACTCTTCTATGACTGCGCTTCCAGGACGGACCAGGTTGATTCCCACGTCGAGTTCCCACCTGATCTCCCATTACGTCGAGTTCCCACCTGATCTCCCATTACGTCGAGTTCCCACCTGATCTCCCATTACGTCGAGTTCCCACCTGATCTCCCATTACGTCGAGTTCCCACCTGATCTCCCATTACGTCGAGTTCCCACCTGATCTCCCATTACGTCGAGTTCCCACCTGATCTCCCATTACGTCGAGTTCCCACCTGATCTCCCATTACGTCGAGTTCCCACCTGATCTCCCATTACGCCGAGTTCCCACCTGATCTCCCATTACCCGAGTTCCCACCTGATCTCCCATTACGCCGAGTTCCCACCTGATCTCCCATTACGCCGAGTTCCCACCTGATCTCCCATTACGCCGAGTTCCCACCTGATCTCCCATTACGCCGAGTTCCCACCTGATCTCCCATTACGCCGAGTTCCCACCTGATCTCCCATTACGCCGAGTTCCCACCTGATCTCCCATTACGCCGAGTTCCCACCTGATCTCCCATTACGCCGAGTTCCCACCTGATCTCCCATTACGCCGAGTTCCCACCTGATCTCCCATTACGCCGAGTTCCCACCTGATCTCCCATTACGCCGAGTTCCCACCTGATCTCCCATTACGTGCCGAGTTCCCACCTGATCTCCCATTACGTGCAGTTCCCACCTGATCTCCCATTACGTGCAGTTCCCACCTGATCTCCCATTACGCCAGTTCCCACCTGATCTCCCATTACGTCCAGTTCCCACCTGATCTCCCATTACGTTCCCACCTGATCTCCCATTACGCCAGTTCCCACCTGATCTCCCATTACGTCCAGTTCCCACCTGATCTCCCATTACGTCCAGTTCCCACCTGATCTCCCATTACGTCCAGTTCCCACCTGATCTCCCATTACGATCTCCCATTACGTCCAGTTCCCACCTGATCTCCCATTACGTCCCAGTTCCCACCTGATCTCCCATTACGTCCAGTTCCCACCTGATCTCCCATTACGTCCAGTTCCCACCTGATCTCCCATTACGCCAGTTCCCACCTGATCTCCCATTACGTCCAGTTCCCACCTGATCTCCCATTACGTCCAGTTCCCACCTGATCTCCCATTACGTCCAGTTCCCACCTGATCTCCCATTACGTCCAGTTCCCACCTGATCTCCCATTACGTCCAGTTCCCACCTGATCTCCCATTACGTCCAGTTCCCACCTGATCTCCCATTACGTCCAGTTCCCACCTGATCTCCCATTACGTCCAGTTCCCACCTGATCTCCCATTACGTCCAGTTCCCACCTGATCTCCCATTACGTCCAGTTCCCACCTGATCTCCCATTACGTCAGTTCCCACCTGATCTCCCATTACGTCCAGTTCCCACCTGATCTCCCATTACGTCCAGTTCCCACCTGATCTCCCATTACGTCCAGTTCCCACCTGATCTCCCATTACGTCCAGTTCCCACCTGATCTCCCATTACGTCCAGTTCCCACCTGATCTCCCATTACGTCCAGTTCCCACCTGATCTCCCATTACGTCCAGTTCCCACCTGATCTCCCATTACGTCCAGTTCCCACCTGATCTCCCATTACGTCCAGTTCCCACCTGATCTCCCATTACGTCCAGTTCCCACCTGATCTCCCATTACGTCCAGTTCCCACCTGATCTCCCATTACGTCCAGTTCCCACCTGATCTCCCATTACGTCCAGTTCCCACCTGATCTCCCATTACGTCCAGTTCCCACCTGATCTCCCATTACGTCCAGTTCCCACCTGATCTCCCATTACGTCCAGTTCCCACCTGATCTCCCATTACGTCCAGTTCCCACCTGATCTCCCATTACGTCCAGTTCCCACCTGATCTCCCATTACGTCCAGTTCCCACCTGATCTCCCATTACGTCCAGTTCCCACCTGATCTCCCATTACGTCCAGTTTCCCACCTGATCTCCCATTACGTCCAATTCCCACCTGATCTCCCATTACGTCCAATTCCCACCTGATCTCCCATTACGTCAAGTGTTCCCCCATGGTCTCCCGTTACGTCAAGAGTTCCCACTTTTTCTCCCATTACGTCAAGAGTTCCCACCTGATTCACCTCCCCTTCCCTACATCAGCATTCTCATCAGAAGCCCCCCTCCCCCCCCAACACCAGAGTTTCAGTCAGAGCTCCCCATACCGGGAGGTGGAGCTAGTCCGCAGACACATACTGCTCTCCTCAGATTCTGAACACTTCTTTCCCCTCTCCTAAAACAAATACACTTCCTGCTACATGAACAATAATATTTGCTGGTTTTTGTTTACTTGCATGGTGTACCTGTTCATGTGTAGAAAAATGTGAACATGCTGCATAGTTCCGCATAGCTCTGCTCAGCATTTTAAAAACATAGAAAACATATGTTATTAGTGTACCCTTGCAGAGACCTGCCCTTGTTTAGTGTAGAAAAACCCATGTCTCCCATGTAGTTAATAAAGCCCCTACACCAAAAAGTAGATTTGCACAAGTCATCCAGCACTATGGCTGTACGTCCTTTGTTTTTGTTGAGATCCTTTCAATGTAGAATGTTGAAATTTTTATAAAGACAATTGCACATATGGGCAGGCTGGTTGAACTGACGATGATCAATTGATTGATTCGATACAACCAGCCTGTCGGATTGTTTGGGATGCAGTCATTGCAGACAGCTATAGCCGCTAGCAGTGATCATCATGTTCTGCCGGCCAGGAAGGCTCCCTGAATCAAGCCATCGTTGCTACTCAGTAAAATTTATGGGTGCGCTTTTATCACCAATGATTCCCATTCCCTACTTTCTGTGCTTTAATATTATGGGTTTGTTTCTTTCATTCAACAGTTATACATCCAACAGTAACTGAATAGTGAGACTCAAAATATTTCAGGAGATAACATTTGCAGTCCTATTATATTTCATGTTAAAATGCACATGGACTTTCTTATGGTATAATTATCAAATGTTTGCTGGTAGATGTTTTCCATTTTGGAAATGTGTCCTCACTGCTGAGTTTTTCATTAATGCTGTTCTTTGTTCTGTATCAGATACATGCTACGTCCTGTCTTTTGCCATCATCATGCTGAACACCAGTTTACACAATCCCAATGTAAGGGACAAACCATCAGTCGAGCGCTTTATATCTATGAATCGCGGAATTAATGAAGGTGGAGATCTTCCGGAAGAATTATTAAGGGTGAGTTTCACTTAATATAAAAAATATTGGTGCATACTATATGCAAGTTGTTAATTACAATTAAAGTAGAACTAAGTTCAAAAGCAAACATTTGCAATGCTATTGGAAATGTTTAGAAGTTTTAACTAAACCCAAACAATGCTATGAACAATGTACTTTGGAATTCCCCCTGAAAAATATTGGTGCAGTTCCTGGTATGTGAGGGTGTCTAGGTACTTTCGTGTCTATAAACTTAAAACTGTTTATCTCCAGTGTAACATCTAAGACATTGTGCCTCTGGCTGCTACTCTCAGGAAATTTAGAATAAGATTTGATAGTGTCACTACAGTGCTGCTCACTGTTCTCCTTGCTGGAAGCCTGACATAAGGAACAAAGCCCTACCTCTACCAAGATGGCCGCATTCACACAGCGAAACCGCGCAGAACAAGGCATGGTAAGTCAATAATGGGGAAAAAAATCAGAAGCTGAGAGACCACGGACAATAGTAGTGATTAGTCCTTTGCCCTCTGCCTCCCTTTTTTGAGCACAGCTTCCAGAATTCATTACATTTGCACACATTCTATACTTGGAGACCCTGTCACCTCACTTTTTATTTTAAATGCTTGCAACAGTGGAGAAAAGCCACTTATTTTTCCCAAATGTTCCTTAAATTGTTACTTTTTTGTAATGTATGCATTTACTAACACTAGCAGCATAGTGATTTCAAATAGTCAATGTTGATTTAAAGTGTGTAGTCTCATTTTAAAGGATAAGTTCACCTTTCCGCAAAAAATAATAAATGCCCTTTTTTTTGCCGGTAAAATGTTCATTTATTATTTTTTGTGTTAGGAGCCTGTTAAAGCACTGAAGCAGCGATCTGCTGATCGCTGGTGCCATGCAGGTCTCCTGCAGACGGTCAGTGTATCTACTTGCTCGTCCATCCCATACAGGCAAGCCGATACTCGCTGGCAGGAAGACTCAATGAACTACCACAGTACTGGGAGTTCACTGAGGACTACAAGCTGACAGCTGCTAAGACTGTCAGGACTTGTAGCCAATTAATTCACAGAACACTGTGAATGACGCAGCCACGGGCTTCTTCCGGTACTTCTGTCGGGGGGGAGGGGGGGGGGTGTGTTTGGCAGGTGGCGGCTGCAGGATCAGGAACAAGTTTTATGTGCCACCCTAAAAACAGGTGGAACATGTAACGTTCCCAAAGGTGAACTTATCCTTTAAAAGCAAGAAAGACTTTTGTGTGTGAAGGATTATGAGTAACGCAGAAACCATTTGCTTGGCTATCTTGCTTCCTGTGTTTATGGTGTGATATGGAGCAGGATGTGTACAATTACAGACATTTCATGAGTAATTAATGCAATTAACATAAGCAATAAGCCATAACAATTTATTAACCACTTATCTGACTACAGTGAAATGAACTCTGGTTACTATTCTTTGTACATTTTTTATTACTTTTCACACTGCCTTAATAAATATGCTTTATGTGGACAGATACCAACCTGACTAATTCATTTTTTAGTTCTGGATATAGTGAGGAAGGATTAGATGATCTGTTTGACTGTGACCCCTTGTCATTTTGTATAAATATTACTTAAACTTTTTAGTAGAGTTGACCAAAACCATTACTCATCTAAACATTAGTGTAACGGTATAAAATGTCAGTTATCCTGGCAACTGTCTGTGTTTTTGTTAGAGGACTCTCTGGTGGCCTACTTCACAAATAAAACAGATAAAGTAAAAATTTGACATTTTCATATAACATAAATTAAATGCTACATTAACCACTTACAACCGCGCTATAGTACATTTTATTGTGTAAATGAGCAAACCGCAGAATATGTCAAAAAGCACCACTTTCTTGAGCAATATCTGCTGTTCTTTTGATATTAATATGTAGCAAAAGATGTGTATGAATACATTTATTCATATTAAATATATGTTTTTATGTTAAAAAAAAATATGTCCTTTTCACTGTAATATAGAAGGGTTCTCTGTTTGCCTTATTTAAAAAAAAAAAAAACACGCCAGTCATAGACTGGCAGCTGTCTCACCTAAAGATATGGGAATTGAGACAGCTGCCCTTCCTCTCTAGCATCAGAGAAGCTCCGGGACTGATGCTATCTTCTCTCTGATGTGGCTTGTATGCATGAAGGATCAGCTCCTGTATGCACAGTGATTATGGCCATGTAGGTAGAATCCTACATGACTGTTAGACTGATTACTGTAATAGTGACTAGTGTGTTATCATTTTACTTATTTTTATTTAATTCAGGTATTTATATAGCGCGAACAATTTACGCAGCAGTTTGCATAAATATTGTTCATCCATATCAGTACCTGCCCTCAAGGATCCATCTAAGATCCCTAATTAACATTCATACATACTAAAGATGGCCATAGATGGATCAAAATTTGGCCAGTTCTGAAGGGACGGGCTGAATTTAGATCCATGTGGGGCCACAGCCATTCAACAGAAGTTGATCTATCAATTGAATAGACCTGTTGAAAAAAAGCTGCTTGATTAGCAGCTACAGCACTGATCAGTGTATTCTAACAGTGAAAGATTCCCCCCCTCCCCCCATCAGCTGTCATAATGCACTGGGGAGGATTCCACCATCCACCTTGAATGTGTGCATGAGGGAATCAGTTCAGTTCTTTGTGTTCAGCCTACTGGCTGAGCAAAAAAAAAAAATGTGAGCCATGTATGGCCAGCCTAACATCAACTTAGACAGGAACCAATTAACCTATGTTTATTATAAAGCCTAGAAAGGCCTTTCCTAAAGTGGAACTTAAGTCAGAAAATTAAGCCCTGATAAATCACTTCAGGATGGCCCCTATTGCAGGTATAGCTATGTAAAACATAAAATATAAGTGCCTATATTGTTTAAACTCCAGTAATGTACCCTGCTCTGCACATGCCCTGTTGTTTTCTGTTCTTGGGACTGTACTTAAAATCAGATCCGCTAGAGGCTGTACAGCAAACAGCCTTAAGATCCACTGTTGCTGAAGGGGGAAGAAAGAACCAGGAATGACACAAACTATGCAGGGGGAACACATGTTAAAGAAGGAGAAAAAAGCAGGAGAGGTGACAGGACAAACTCTGCTTCCAGGGAGACACAAAAGAGGTAAAATTACAAGTATAGTGCCTTGTCTTGTCTTACCTTATCTCCCTGATATTCTCTTCTCCCTAATGGACAGTTTGCGAACTTCAGCACTGTAAAGCTTCTGTGAGCCTTCCTCTTTGTCTGAGCCAAGACATATAGTGAAGGCAGGAAATGTACATATTCTTTTAATTGAAGAAAGTGACATATAGCTTTTGAGACCAAGGAGAGGGGGAGAGATTCCAATAAGGAAGTAAGATTTCAGTACCTTTTGTGAACTATGAAAATTAATATCTACACATCGCCTATAGCTATAAAGGTGAATGATGGCTTGTTGTGAAGTGTTTTCACTTTTTATTTAGAATATGCAAATACTTTAGTGTACATAGCGCCACTTCTGGGCACTGATGAGTGGCACTGGTGGATGGCACTGCTGGGCACTGATGATCAGTGTGGGTGTCCTCTGTGACATTTGCCAGTTATCGGACAAGAAAGTGCTGCCAATAACCGGCAACTGTATTTACTTTGTGATCTGCTGTGTTATTGGACACAGCTGATCATGTGGTAAAAGGTCGCTGTGATTGGCCTTTTACCATGTCATATGATCAGCTGTGTCCATAGGATACAGAGACCACTGCAGCGGTGGGTGCGCACCGTGGGGGGTGCGTTCTGGGAGGATGTCATATGATGCCCTCCAGAACTGGACAACCGCATTGTAGCCATCATTCGGCTATAGCACAGTTGTAAAGTGGTTACGATGAACTCCAGGTAGATATAAAAAAACAATCACAGTTATGTATTTATTAAAAGATATTGCTAGAAGAGTGCATTGTTTGTGGGGCTAGTGTTGAGTCGGCCATAGATGGATCAAATTTCAGCCGGTCCAGTAGGGCCCAGCCAAGATTCGATCCATCTATGAGCAGGGTCCATCGACCAGCTTAGGTATAACCAGCCTGTTGGATGTTTAGCATGGGATTACTGCCCCTGGCTATATCCGCTAGAAGTAATTATTGTATTATGCCGGCTGGGAAAGCTCCCTATCCAGGAGAATACAGTAGTACTGTGGGAGGCATTCCCCCATCAACAATGACTGTGTTGATGGGGGAAATTAATCAAGGAAAGAAAACCATTAATCTATGGCTTGCCTAAAGCTGTGCATACACTTTACAATCTCCTCTAGAGCTACCAGCAATTATGTAGTGCCCTTGTCTGATTTGACACTAATTGAATGGCCTGTTTTGGGTTTGTACATATATTATATAGGTTATTAAATATAATATGTACTGTAATATGATAATATAATATTTTATAAATATAAAGAATATTTGAGAAAGATTGTGCAATCACGTTGTATCCTGCATGGCTAGGTTGACCTTCAGTTGGTCTGGTTGCTGTTGGCAACATTTCTCTTTGTTGTAATTGTTGAAAATTATTGTTGTTTTTAAATTTGCGTTTTAGAACTAATAAAACATTTTTTTTTTTTTTACAGAATTTGTATGAAAGTATTAAGAATGAACCCTTTAAAATCCCAGAAGATGATGGGAATGACTTGACGCACACATTCTTCAACCCTGATCGAGAGGGCTGGCTCCTAAAATTAGGTCAGTTGAATGATTTTTCTGTTGTATATTAGTCTACCCTTACTAGAAAACTACCTTTAGGTCTTTTTTCCCTGAAGAATGTCATGTAGAGGACAGATTCCTAAAGGGCTGTTTTTTAGCTTCAGTTTCCATGAAAGTAACTCCTTTCTTGTGAAAGCCTCCTTCAGGTGAAGGTAAACTGATTGAATACATTTTTCTAATATGTAAGTTAAAATGTGATAGTTTACAAGCTATACTAATATTTTTTTATAATCCTTTATTTTATTACATCTATTATTATGATTTTTTATCTGCTGTATGTTTTTTTTTGTAGCTGTATAATGTTTTACACTTCCAGCTTTATTTTCCTTTTCTCAAGTTTAAAATGGAAAAAGAAACAGAAAAAAAACACTCTACTTGCAATTGCAGTTGTTCTGTCGGTGGATTTTTCACATGTTTAACCTTTTATGAAGGAAGCAGCAGCTGATTTAAAATGTTGAGTTGTATGTTTCAGACATGTTCTTTCCCCACTAGAAGCTTGCCCTCAATCTGGAGATTGTTGAGTTAATTGAAGCAAATATAGAGGCAGGCGATTCATGCATTGCTAAGCTGCTCGATAATTATCTCAGCTCATTACATTCCAAGCCACAGTAACCGAGCTCAGCAATTTGACTTGCAATAGCATAGTCCAACATCACCAGCTCACACTAGAGCAAGTCTTGAGAGCACCATCTATTTACTGCTCACAATGCAACACCTTAGCTTTCGGGACTAGAACTGTTTTTTTATTAATTTCTTTAACTTTTTATCTTAGATTAAACCATGAATATAGTGTGATTTGTAGTATAAGAATTTATCGGTTTTATGCAGTGAAGATGGGATACATTGAACAGTTATGAGGCAGTCTTGATCATGATGTGTAGGTCACGTTCAGTCTGCAATTGAGGTATCTGAAAAGGACTTTTTCTGAATGGAGTTATTCTTTGCATTTTTTGAGTTGCACCAGACAACGTTTATTTACAAATGTAAAGCTTAAAGTAGAACCTATAGGCAAAACATTTTTTTATTTTTATTTTGGATAGAGTAAGGGAGGGTTATAACCCCTTTCAGATTTAATTTCAATAACTGTGGCCTATTGGGGAGATTTCTCTTCATTTCCTGTGCCATTGCCAAACAGGAAGTGTGACTAAATCCCTGCAAATTAAGGGAATTCCTTGGGGACTCCCAGGTCACCAGTACTAGTATCCCCATTGGAAGATTTTCCCTCTATGACTTTTCTGGGGACAAGCTGAAATTTGGGAGTTTCTTTTACTTTCAATGATAATGGTAAACAGGACAAACACAGAGGGTGAATCTCCCTGATGGGGGAGACAGAAAGCAGTAAAACCTGACAGGGCTTCTAATCCCTCTCCACTCTATTCAAAAATGAAAAACATTTTGCCTTTAGTTATACTTTAATCATCAGCTCATCATTTTCCAGTTCATCTTCCCTGATGACACCTTAACCTAAGAATGAAGATCCTACCTACCTAATTGGACAGAAAGTAAAGGATTTAAAACGTTTTGTCCTATTATGCCTTGTTTTATTGCCTCTATAGATGTGTGTTTTACCACAGAGAGTAGCACTGATGTAGCAGGATGTCGGAAGCCGTATACTGATGATTAGATTTTTGAACGATCTAACCGAAAGCGGTTATTTTCTTAGGATTTTCTATCGTGTGTACCGGGCAAATAATTATGGGGTTACATTCTGGGAGAGGAAGGGTTTGGGGGTTGGACTATACTTAACAGAAACACATTAGGAGGCTGCCTGGAATTTGCACATTATGTTTAGGTTTCCAGATTTTTATTAGTCCCCAATGCTGTGATTCTTGGGCAAATATTTGGTGATTAAAACAAATTCAACATGTCAGTAAGTAATGTGACTGGGTAGAGGAAAAGCATTATCCACTCCTGGAAGCTGACGTGACAAAAGTCAGACCTTTTGAGGGTGTATATGATCATATGTACAAACCTGCCCTTACTCTTTCATGTTAATTTTATCAGTTTAGGGATTGTTTACGTATTTTCTTACTGTTATCGTATGTATTGAAATTGTGTTGAAAGCTGTGCATGGCCTTTCGAGAAAGACGCGTAAGTCTGTTTTCAGTTAAAGCCCAACTGAACCTTCAGTTTAAATCTGCCAAATACATGGGGCATCCAGCTGCATCAAAATACTAATAGTACAAAATGTACTTTTGTTTGTTTTCTTTCTCAAACAGCCACAGCCCAAGTAAAAAGAAGTGTGTCCCCTGCCAGTAGCTGCAGAATGGGACCCTTGCTCTCAGTGTTCTCATTGCAGAGGTCTGCAGGGGATTCAGTCCTTTCTAAGTCTGCAAAAAGCAAAGATACCATGTCCCTGCTGATTGGAAAGGTCTGGCTCTGACTCAGTTTGGGGACATATCGGACCTCTGTACAGAGATCATTGCTAAAGAGATCATCATTTCAGAGAGCAAGTGTCCTACTCTACAGCATGCTGGCGGGTCACAGGCTTTTTAATTAGGTTGTTGATGGCTTTAGAAAAACCCAAATTGTGCACACTTGCACACCTTTTATTTTGAAGCACATGAAGAGTGTCAGTTTATACTGATAGTTCAATTTGACTTTAAAGGGTAACTCCACTTTCATGGGGAAAAAAAATTGGCAAATAAAAAAAATATATATTTTATACAACATGTAGCATATACAACTGTGGTTCAAGTCATATTGAAATCAAATGTTCTTAAAAATGTTCTTTCCTTTTCAATCTGCAGGGCCGTAATTTTCTGTAAAACGCAATTCAATATGGCTACCTGGAGGGGTTCTGTACACAGATGGTGTACAGAACGCCCCCTGAAAATGTAATTTCCTGCTTGAGTGATTGGCTCACTGATTTTCCCAGAAGTCTGCACTAAGATACAGATCAGATTTTTGGCATCTGCTGCAACAAAACTTTAATTTTTGGTGAGATACTCCCAAAGGGAAATCTCGTCTAAAGGGATGCCGACCCTTCCAGTTTCCTCTTTTGAGCCCTGCAGGTGCGCAGCTGATTGAATATAAAACCACTCCCATTAGATTCATTCTTCACATGGACACAAACACACAGCTATTTCTTCAGAATTACAAAATGTAGGAATCTGCAACAAAGTTTGGTAAAATCTTTGCAGTGATCATTGATCACCCAGAGGGGAATGTTTTTTTCCTCAAAAAAAGTGGAGCTACACTTTAAGAGTTGAATAGATTTGTCCTTGTATATTATCCATATAACATCAAATGCTGTGTATGGCAGTCCATTCAGATTGCCTCGTAAGACCATCAGCCTTACCATACACAATTCAAGGAGAACATTGAAGAAACCAGTAACAAATTCACCATGCTGAAACTGGTCCAGTACAAGGTGGATTTTCATGAGTTGCTGTGACTATGGCACTTTCGTTCTTTGCAATTTTTTTAACTAACAAGGCAGCATATCTGTCTCAAATGGGTATTTTACTTAGAGTAGTGTAATTGCATAGATTAATCTGTGTTTGAGCATGATATGGTTGCAGATAAAGAACATACTGGGCTGTGTTTTCTTCACTCTTAAGCTGGCCATAGACAATGTGATTTTCTTTCCTGCAACCACAGGTTGCAGAAAAGAAAATCGCTCCATTCCCCCATCTACAATGTCAGTGTTTATGGGGGAATTCCTCATGCAGAGCTATTGCGTTCTCCTGGAAAGAAAAAGAGGTTCGCGGGGAAGCCATCCCTGCTGGGAGAACCATGATTATTGCTACCAGCTATAGCTGCTGGGAATAATTGCATTAAAAATCTGATAGGCTGATTGTACCCAAGTCATACAACAATCAAATTGGGTACAATTGGGTACAATCAGCCTGCCCATAGATTATTCTAATCTCGGCCAGTCCCTGCTCAAACCATTTATGGCTGGCTTTATTCCTTATGACCATTGGATGAAGAAGCAAAAATCCAAGTGCTTGTATTCACCCTGCTTTCCACTGCCTGTCATAATGTCCTCCCAGCAAAGGCCCACCTGAAGAAATGATGCATCTCACTGCAACTCATTAAAGGTCCTTTGTACTACCTATAGATAATATAATCTGCTTGCTGCTGACACTGATATTGTATTCACCACAAACCAAACGAACCATTAACATAAAAAGCATTTCACTTTTTATTTTAATGATGCATCTCAATGTTTGGCTGTAGCCTGAACGCTGTATGCAATGCTCTGGTCAATGTAAGCAGAGGAGTACTCTGAGCTGTTTAGTTCAGGACACACTTTATAAGTATGTCTTGGCATATGTCAGTACATCTACTGTATTTCCACATTTTATTTTTTTTTAATTTCTACAAGTACAAAAAAATACCTGTTTGTCAGAAATTCAGTGAGCTCCTAACTTCCTGTTTGAGCTGACAGCTATGTTTTTTCATTTATGATCTGCACACCAACATATCCTCTCTAATACTGGTCTCCATATAGGACTAGATATGGGTTTGTGAATAGTCCCCTATGCTTCTGTTAAAGTGGAGTTCCAGTCGTTTTTGTGTGTATTAAAAGTCTGCAGCTACAAAAACTTTAGCTGCTGACTTTTAATAAACAAACACTCACTTGTCCCAGAGTCCAGCGATTTTCTTACCTGCACAGTCCCTTCTCCCCCTCTTTCCTCCACGGCACCGGCATCTCATCTGTGGGCACCAGGCTGTGACAGCTTGTGGCTTCACAACCTGGTGCCCACTGTGCATGTGCGAATCGCACTGCGCTTCCTGATTGGTCCACAGTCTCCTGGGACCTGTGAAAGTTCCCAGGAGACTGCGGGAGGGAGGAGGGGGCCGAACTTCCGACTCACTTTGCCGCGGCTAACTAAACCGGAAAAACCAGGTACCCGCTCCCACCTCTCCCCAAAAGGTGCCAAATATGGCAGTGGAGGGGGGACGAGGCAAATAAGCGGAGCTTCCACTTTTGAGTGGAACTCCTCCTTAAGGAGTTTATTATGTAGGTTTTAAGTATGTATGTCTCTATAACGTGGGTAAA